ATTTATCTACTTTAATGACAGTGATTCCTTCATTAGAAAATTCATCTAATTCTTTTTCTCAACACACTAAACAAATATCACTACAACGTAATAAAATTAATACAATTTTAGAGCATAATGATAATCTATTGGAAATTTTGGAAATTCCCCAATTAATGGATACCTGCGTTCGAAATGGTCTCTATTCTGAGGCCATGGATTTATCACAACATGTTGCAAGACTTGTTTCAAAACACTCTAATATACCTTTGATTCGACAAATTGAACAAGATGTTAAGCAGACGATGCAATCAATGTTATCAAAATTAATCTCCCTTTTAAGAGAACCGATCAAATTACCAAGTTGTTTAAAAGTAATTGGTTACCTAAGACGTATGGAAGCATTTGATGAAGCAGAATTACGTCTCGTATTTTTGCTTTCTAGAGATACCTATTTACAGATTTTAATTCATTCAATTGATAAAGAAAAGAAAGATCCTGCACAATATTTAAAAAAATGGATTGATATTTTTAGGGAACACTTTTTTGATATAGTTACTCAGTATAGATCAATTTTTGCAGAAGATGGTGGAGGACTTGCTTCAACACCTATTTATTCTTCATTTATGATTCCACAATCCCCTTCATCACCATGGATGACGCCTTCTTCCTTGACGGATACTACCAATGATAATCCTACTGGAAGACATAATTTAATGGCAACTACTGTTCTTGCTGATTATACAATTCATATTCTCAATCAATTAACTTCAGTTCTTGCTGAATTCACTCCTCTTATAATAGATATTCAATCCCTTTCATCAATCTTGACACAGCTTATGTATTGCGGAATGTCACTTGGTCGAGTTGGTGTTGACTTTAGACATCTTGTGACAAGATATTTTGAAGAAGGCGTTGAAAGAATAATTAAGAAAATTATCTCGGATGGTACTCAAGTCTTTTTAGATGAATTGAAACAAGCTATTAAGAATATAAATTTACCAAACACATGGATGATAGTTGATAAAAAATCTACTAATTTGATTGAGTCTTCAATACGATCTTCTTCATTCACACCATTAGTCATTCTATTAGATTATCCACCTATCGCTTATTTAACAAATGCCTATCTAACAGCTTTTAATTCTCTTCGTATAGTGGCCCCCGTATCATTATATTATACACTTGGTGATTACCTTTCTTGGAACCTCTTGACAATATCAGAGACATTACGTAATTATGGAAATCTTCTTGTTGACAATAATCATGATACGACGGTTCTTCAAGGATTTAATGCAACATTTGCTAGAAGTTTTGTACCTTTTATCACAAGGTGTTATGTAGACGGAGTTTACGGAGGATTATTAGGTGGTGGTGATGAAGCTCATTTAGAGGTTATTGACCAAGCTAAAATCTTGAATATTTTAAAAGAATTTTTACCTGTTCCAATAAGTAAATCGAATAAAAGTTGATTATATTATTCTTAATTTTTAAATATATTAATTTATTTAATTACAAAAAAGGAAACATTAAGTATATTAGTATGAATTACGTGTATCAAATTTCGAGAATAATCTACAAGGTATTACAGGGATTACGTAATCTATAGCAATAAAAAATTATAAATAGAGGCTGATCTCAGCTACGTTTTATTAAATAAAAAGAATTTTCTCTAAAAGAATTTGAATTTCACTATAAAAGTTATTCTTAATGTCGTTTTCGTATACCAGAACTTTATTATCAGGGTCAGTTATCCCAACTTTGGAAGGAGATAAATTGATCCTTCCACCTTTTATTCTTGAAGAATTGTTACGTGCATCTAGTAGTAATTCATACGATTTTTCGGAAGCACAACTCCCATATCCAATTACTTTTCAGATATCTAATCCCAGGACACAATTAATAACGCATGGGGGTGTTTTGGAATTTAATGCAAATGATGATAGGGTTTATTTACCAGAATGGATGTATAATTCGCTCTCTCTCGTTGAAGGCGCGGAAGTTACCCTTCGATTAAAAGAACTACCAAAAGGAACTTGGGTAAAATTTCGCCCAATAGACACTGAATATAAGAAAATAAAAGACTATAGGTAAGCCTTATTAATGCGGAATTTACAATCCTTTCAATTTAAAATAATTAATGTCTCTTGTTTATATTTATAGGGCGGCCTTTGAAGGATATCTACGTTCACATTTTACTACTTTAACTACAGGAGAAATTCTTACAATCAAACAGGCAAATTCTTCTTATCAATTTATAGTGGAATCTTTAAAACCTGCTAAAGCTGTACGAGTTGTTGATACAGATTTGGAAGTTGAAATATCACCGCTCGTTGATGAAGAAGCTTCTTTAAATATGGATAAGGACATTCATGTTGGACAAACTGTTGAAGGTAGTATTCAAAAGAATGATTACGCTTATTGGAACTTAAAAAGTATCGAAAAATCACGTGGATTAAATATTGTGTTAAATATTAAGGAAGGGGATGCAGGTAAATATGATTTTCAATAATTTCTAATACTATAATTATCTATTCACTTGATTTTTAATTTAGATATTGGCTGATCGTCCATTCAATATTATGTTTTCAGATCTCGTCGTATCCAATGTCCAGTTTCCAAAAGATGATGACCATATTTGGTCAAATTTTTCATCTGATCCTTCGAAGTCCGTATTTATCGCCTCCACAAATTTCGAATATGCTACTAAAGATGATATTCACATTGGAATTCATGGATATGGTGATTCGTCAAATCCTTATGAACTAACAGTAACGTATTCTGATCAACCACCGACTATGTCAGAGCATTCATTGGAATTAATTAATGATCATGCTCCTGGGTATATTCAATGTAGAAATTGTGGAAGCTGGATACCGGAAAGAACGATAGCTTTACATTCAAATTTCTGTGAAAGGAATAATATCATGTGTAGTTCATGTAATAAAGTAATGAAAAAAGGAGAAGAGAAAAATCATTGGCATTGTTCTAAATGTGATAAGGTAAATTTTACTTTTTTTTTTGCTATTAATTGCAATGCACAATATATCGTTTATTAACATTATTTATTTATTATTTAGTTCGGTAATATTTCGGAACAAGCAAAACATGATGATATTTTTCATACAGAACACAAATGTTCATGTGGGTTTACAACAGAGTCATTACCAGATTTAGCATACCATAGACGAACGATGTGTCCGGACAAACTTATAAAATGTAGATTTTGTCTTAATTTAGTTAAGCAAGGAGAGCTGTCGACCAATCAGAATGATATTTTGGAAGGTTTTTCTTCTCATGAGTCATATTGTGGAGGTAGAACTATCACATGTTTAAAATGCGGAAAAGCTGTTATATTAAAAAATGTCGCGGTTCATGCAAAAATGCATGAAGTTGAAAAACAAAATCAAAGGTTACCACCACTTTGTAGAAATGCTAATTGCACGAGAATTTCAGCAGATAACTCATTAAAATTATGTACAATTTGTTTTGGACCTTTTTGGTCACCAACAGCAGATCCAACACGACAAATGTTATTTAGAAGAGTAGCTAGAAAATATCATCATCAATTAACTGTTGGATGTAAAAATTCTTGGTGTAAAAATGAGGTAAATATTTAATTTTTAAATGAAAACATATCATATTGTTTTTGATAAATTACTAAATTTAATTATTTAATGATTTAGTATTGTGCAACAGGTAATTCACAACCAAAAGATGCCACAACAGCGGCAACTGCTTTAATCCCACTTTTACAGCAAGTTCAGTCAGCATCGATGTATTTTTGTGTGGATGAAATTACCATGAAAAAACGGTTACTTGCAAATTTTTTATATAAAGGAGAGGATGGTCAAGGTACTGAAGGAGAATTTTCTATTGAATTTTGTGTTAAAGCAATAGAAGTTGAGAATGGGGATTTAGTTAAAGCGAGGCAATGGTTAACATCAAATGCACCTAATAATAATCTTAACTCTAGAAATTAATTTTATAATATAATATTAAATTTCAAATCATTTTTGCAAAGAAATTATTAAATTAATAACTTAATTTACTTTTTATATGAACATGCTGTAACTTATAATAAAAAGAAAGTTAAGATAAATAATAGAATATTCTTAATTAAAATGTATGAATACAGTAGTTTGCGTAACCTATTTTCGCGATGATATTTGTTTAATATATTCGTAAATTGAAACGTGATAACTGCGCCTCTAGATTTGCTCAATGAAGATGATTCGCGAGGTTGCACGGGAGGATATATCAGATCGTCCGAAAATCTTGTAAATTTTACCTCCACCTGATTATAAAGCCGGGAAAAGTTCGATTATAAGATTTTTCTAGGATTGGATCGAAGTGTTAAACCAACATAACTCATTTTTATTTGCAGGAAATGATCGTGTTTGATATATGTTAGAATTTTCGGTCGATGTTTTTTTTTATTTTCGTCTCAATTTTAATAAACATCCCGAAGTTTCATACTATTAAATTAGTTGAATCCCTTTGAATCCTGCAACTTTAATAATTTCATATGGCTGATAATAGAAAATGTATGGAGTTTCAAAATACTAAATAAAATTTTAGTTAGGTAACAAGAAAATTAAGCAAATGGTTTTGAAAAGAAGGTATTGTATGTACTGTGTAATATTAGCGAAATGATTATAGAAGTTTGTTGTACAAACTATGTGGCTTTTTTGATTATTGAAAAAAAAATGTGGCGTTTTTATTAATGATGTTGATTAAATACCTAATTTGAAAATATCACGTGTTATTGTTGATAAAAGTGTAAATTAAAAATTTTATTTTATATAGAACGCGAAAAGATTTTTTACTATTAATATATAAACTTAATGTCGTGTTTTTTATTTTACGCGTTTAATTTAGCTTTTATCTTTTACAAGTTTTCTCTTTCTCTTACCTTACATGTTTAACTTGACTTTATCTTTACAAGTTATAAACTTATTTCTAGTTATTATATACTTTTATTTTGCATATTTAGCCAATCTTATTTGATATGGAAAGTTATGAAGAATAAGTTAAATATAACAATGATGGCTCAGTAAATGTACCTTTTGGCCGAGCTGCTGAGTGGTATTTAGCAAATTTATCTATTCTAAAAAATTGTCCTCAAAAAACCAAAGTAGACAAATTACACCTGCATTAATTAAAGCAGGAATTATAACTATTGAACGTGTACAAGGAGCAGTAGATTATTTAGAATGGACAATTAAATTAGTGACAAAAAAATCTACAAATCGTATTGATGATATAGTGGTTCTAACTTCAAATGGAAATGAATTACTTTCACAAATAAATTTAGGAATAGAAAAAGATCAGCAATGCTGATATTGGATTATGTATTATTCAAGTGATAGAAATACTTGTCAACGCCTATGTGGTGGTATTAGTAATTGTTTGAAAATATGTGATAATTATTTTTTTCTTAAAAATTTAAAAAATGCCAATGATATGCATTTATGTAGTATTAGAGTAATTTCTGAAGATCACTTATCATGGTTAAATTCAAAAATTCAATTACATATTAGAATTTAAGGATCATATAATCCAACACAATATGTAAATAATACACCAAAAATTTCTTGAATTAATTTGACTTATGCTATTAGAGATTCAATAGCTATTAGTCAAAGAGCAGACCATAGAACTACTAAGGGTATTAAAGCTAAAATATTAACTTCATTTAATGGTAAAGCTTTAACAAATTAACATCAAATTTTGATAATAATAAACTTCAATAACTTATTAAAAGGGATAATAAAAAATTCAAAGATAATTTAAGCACATAAATACAACTTAATGATTTAATTGTTAATGAATTAAAATCTCATGATTATATTTTATATTATCAAATATCAGATTTTAATAAATCTATTGATTCATCTGATTGATATTATCAATTAATATTTTTAGATGAATTTTGGTTAAAAAATGGTTGAGATTATGAAAAATTATGTATTGGAATTGATGGCAAATATAATTTAAATATAGATCATATTCCTGTATTATCTATTGTTTCTGAAAATGAGGTTGGTTATAGTTTATCTTTTGCATTTGGTAATTATTTTAATTTATTATTATTATTATATTATATATTTATAATAATATTCTAATAAATTCTTTTAATTATATAATAAATAGCTTTAAATAATAAAGAAAACATTTAGCTATAAAATTAGCAATTGAAACTATTAAAAAAAATATTTCTTGTAATAGTATAGTATGTCAATGCAAATAGTATTATGAGGATTTAATATTAGAAAATAGTTTTCAATAAGTTCACGAATATTAAAATGATGATTGGAAGCTTTATATAATGATTAATAAGCATTGACCTTCAAAACTTGCCATTCAAAATATTTTATATAAATTTATTTTATGTTGATTTATATAATGAAAACTTTAGAGAAAATCTTAATAATTGACATATACCTGAAAATTTTCAGTAAATTTAAAATTTTTTAATAATTAATTACTTATATTTTTATTTAGATATTCAATTGCATTAGCTTTTAAATTTATAAGACGTTGTCAGACTAAAATAGCTGCAATTGAAATGATTAAACTATTAAATAAATTTATAAATATTTTGTTTATTGAAAAAAATCAAAAGAAAAAATCATAAATGATTTATTAAAGAATTAGATGTATTCTAAATAGAGATTATGCTAGATATTGTTAATGAAGCAATTGACCAATCATAATAAAGTCAAGTGAATGACGTAGTATGATAATTTCTTAATCCAGAATTTTAAAAATACTGAGAATTCTGCGAATTCTGAAAATACAAAAGATTTACATAATTCTAAAGATCTTTTAAATACTGATGATAATTCTAATTTTATAAATTAAACGAAATCTAAGAATATTTAGTGTTATACTTATTTTTAATATTTTAAATTTTATTATTATTTTTATTATATTTTATATTTTTATTATTTTACGTATTTTTATTATTTTAATATATTTATTTTACTTATATTTTATTTTATCAAATTAATTAGTTTATAGTATAGTAATTAGTTAACTGTGACAAAAAAAATTTTGTATAAATAGATAGACTTTTTGCTTATGTTGTAAATTAATTCTCTTGTAAATATGAGTTTCAATATTAATAAAGGAATCATTTAAAACTTATATCTTTCTGCCTCTTTATATCTTCATATAGTCTGACGTGATCCTTATATATTATTTGTAATTGAGTTTATCATCTAAAATTCTTTAACTAAATTATTTGTAGTTTCATCTTTTAGGTTTTCATATTTAATAGATTTGTTTAAGTTCAAACACATAAATTTGATAAAGTTAAGAGTTAAATAGATCCTAATGTCTTAAACGCAATAAGTCGCAGTTAGTAATTTTGAGTAGAGACTTGATAATGTGACTAACTTGAGTTAAAGAATTTTACAGTAATAATATATTCCTAATGATTTGACAAATGGTTTATTATAGACAACAAATAATTTTACAAAAAAAATTAATTGAATAATTGAAGTAGTATATAAGCACTTTGCAATAGAAAAGGAAAAAACTATCAAAAAATTTTTTTTTTACTTTTTAAACTAAATATTATTTTTTTAGTAAAATAAATCCAGATTTAATATTAACTCAAAAAAAATTTTTTTTGGTAGTTTTCTCTTTTTTTTACTATAAAGTGCTCATATAGTGATAATCAAATACTATTAATATTTGTAAAATGTATGTATAAAATAAAATTCTATTATAAAACTATAACAAATGAAAGTGGATCAAATATTTTTAAGTCTAAGTTAGTTACATTATTTAATATTCAAACAATCGAATAGGTAATTTTTTTTAAAAAAAAATATAATTTTAAATTTAAATTTAAATTTTAATTTATTAAATTTTTATTATATTTAAAACAAACAGAAAATAATTTGGCTTTAGATAAATTACAAAGATTAAATCAAGAAAGATTTGATTTTTTTTCTGTTTGGTAGAAGAAATATCAGATCCAAATATTTAATCTTTTTATGATAATAAATTAGTCAATATTAATGAATATATAATGCAAGGATTAATAAAGATGATGGATAATCTTATGAAACCTTTAATTGAACATATATAAATAAAGCCTGATTTCTATATTTGCAAAATTATTATAGGAGAATACATTTGTTGAGAATATATTTGAAATGGTTTAATTTAAAATAAATATAAATATTATTATATAACAAAATTATTTAAAAATATAAAAAAAGAGGAATTGTAAAAATTACTAATGAAATAAAAGAAAATTTGGTAAAATATTTTCAAAATAAAGAATGAATACTTCTTGCAAATTTAAAAAACTATATAATTTATTAAAATACAACTGACAATTATATAGACTACATAATAAGTTACTAATATTATCTATTTTACTTAAAGATGGTCCCCATAATTATTTTCAAATTTCAATTGAGTTGCAACTTAATTACACTATAAGGAAATTTAATTGCGTCACAAGTTGCAACTCAATTGCGCTATTTTTTTTAATTGCGATGACCATCTTTAATTTTACTTACATAATTACTAAAATTTATTTTATAATTCAAAATAATTCAAAGAAAATAAGATTTTTTATCTAGTAAATAAATTATCTCAAATAATTAATAATTTATTTTGAACAGAAAAGTTAAATAATTAAGCTAAATTAAATTCAAATGCATATTTAAAATTATTTTTTAAACTTAGAAAATAAAGTAAGATACAAAAATTATTAAATATTACATTAGATGATAACATTAATAAGTTGTAGAATTTCATTATACTTACTATTATATTTGAATATTAATAATAATCTATTTATTTAGATAAAAACTAATTAAAGACTTTTACATCTTCATCTATTTTTCATCTATTCCTATATCATCATCAAATTCTATATTCTCATCCATTTCTATACCTTCATTAACTTTCACATCTTTATCTATTTCTATAATATCTATACCTACATCTATCTCTGTAACTTTCACATCTTCATTCATTTCTGCACTTTTATCCACTCCTATATTTAAAATAAGTGTATATGAAAGTTTATATATTTATTGTAATAAATCAATATCTAGTATACTTTCAGAAAATTTATAATAAAACTATAGTTTTATAAGCTGGAATTGATATACTTAAATACAATAAACAAGCATTTTACTTTATACATTGTATAGAAATAAAGATTATTCCTATTGGTTTATCAAAAGGATATTTGAAATTTATTAATTTTGATTAATTACCATCATGTATTTTTATTTTAAAAAGAAGCTTTTTGAAATAATCAATAGAGATGTTACAAGTTATTATCAAGAATTTGCTTTTTCTATTTATGAAAAACTCAGAAAAAAAGCTAACTTACCTATAGTATATATGAATAGATTTGAAATTTTTCAGATATATTTAATAAATATATTATAATGTGATTATATATTTTATTATTTAGTTAATTTTATAATTATTATATTATAGCTAGAATATTATAAATCAAAAGGGTTATTTAGTATTGCTAGTAAATTGATTCAAATATTTATTTCTTCTCATATTTTTACACAAGATGTATCTTTTCTACTAAAGTCAATAGATTATATCTATAAAATTTTAGTATCAAATGTAATAATTAGACTAACATAGAATGATTATAGTAATAATATAACTTTAGAACATGTAAGAAAAATTATGACTAATAGCATAGAATTTAGCATTTATATGAATAACACTGATTAATCGTTTATTTTTCTGCTTGCTTTTTTTTAATAAAAGAAATAAAAGTTATAATATTTGTTTAATAATCAAAAATGCAAAATTATCATCATTAAAATATCATATATATGATATTTTCAAATTAGATATTTAATCAACATCATTAATCAAAAATGCTATATTTTTTAATAATCAAAAAAGCCATATAATTTATACAATAAACTTCTATAATTAAAAAGCAACATTTTGCTAATCAAAAATGATCTATTTGCATGTGAAAATCCTTTAACAAAAAAATAAAAGATTACAGAAAATATTAAAAAAAAGTTCTAAATTTGACATTGCAAAAATTCTTCATAAAGTAATTATTTTATAATTAATATAAATTATTAATTAAATAATATATCTTAGTAATATATAAAAATATAATAAAATAAAATTTATTTTTAATAGTATTATAATATAATTTTTAATAATAACTTGTTTATTAAAAAAATATATATATATTTATTAAAAAAACTATTATATACTTTATAAAAATATATTAATTATTATATATATATTAAAATATAATAATATAAATGATATTAGAAAAGTAGCAGAAAATCTTTAAATTTAAAAAAGAATTTAAA